AACAACATACTTTTGAGGTTATAATGATGAATGTGCTATGCTTTAGGAGCACTATAGTTTAAACTAGGTTATTTTGAATATAATTTATTTTGAAACAATTCTATAGATATATCTCCTCTTAAAACTACAGAATGTCTATGTACAAGCAACGGTATTTCAGAATGTCTCATGTTCTAATGTACTTATTACTTTGTCCTCACCATCAAAACAGAGCATATATCAATAGAGCATTTTATTTATGTTTATAGTTTGCGATAAAATGTAGTAACAACGCACAACAACAGAATTTCCGACATGCAGTCATTAATAAAGATGTGTATCAGGTATCAGCTTTGAATATTATGTGAAGTTAATTCCTCCTAACGAACACTAGTTATTTAGTACAGAAACAACATTTTTGATTTCATATTCACATTTACTTTAAACTGGTTTTAAATATATATTACAAATCTCTAAAAAGGATTTTCTTTTAAATAAATTTGACAGCTTGCAATAATACCAGCTGTTCCTATTTCGAATTTTTGTTTAAAACTAATTATGAATTTGGTCTTTTGAGCATCGAGTTTTTTGGTCCTTTGTATTTCATGTTTCGTTGTTCAGTCTTTACTTTGACATGTTTAGCAAAAACAAATTATAGTTTGTTCTATAAAACCTGTTGTTTTAGTTTTATTTATAACGATCCACATTTTCGCACAGTTACTGTTATTGACTATAAACAATATGTTTAATGTACCTTGTTTTCAATTGATATAATTTATTATATTTAAAACATAAAACAATAAACCGGTGGTCATAAATAATTATACCGTCATAAACACGCTTTTACTGCCACAGGCATCAAATTTATAACAATTCGATAGTTTCACAATTATTATAACTCCGATTTTCCGTTTTCTAAGCACGCTTCTAAAATGGCTATTATTTAGTTATACAGCAAACTGCATAGATATCTAACTACACTAAATTGTGGTGTTTTTCGTACTTTCTCCGACTTCGTGACAACCTCTGATTGACGTACTCAAGTTCTAAATAAAGAAACACGATTATTACCGATAGTTCCTGGTTTTCTATGTTCCCATTTAAACTAGCTGAGGCTCTTGTTAAAATGTAAATATTTTGTTAATACATTTGTGGTTTTATACAAACTCGCAGCGAATTTAGATTTCATATAGAACCTCGTTTTATCTTAGTGTGGGTATTGGTTGATATCTTCATAATAAAATTAAGGGGCCTGTCGTACTATTTCTGACCAAAACCTACATCCTCTGTCGATGTGCGCACAAGGGTGCAGTATCAAATTGCAAAATCTTCAGTTTGCCACCTGCATTTATAGTGTTAGCAACTTAGACATAAAATTTTACAGATTCTCTTGTTTTAGTGTCGAGTTTCCGATTTACAACTAATGTTCACTCATAGAATTTGTTAAGTTTTATTGAGTTTCCTGCAAAAATAAACAGTTTTGGGGGTTCAAGCCAAAAACTGTATCATGATTGAGAAATGACCCCATCTGTCTTTGAAACACTATGGAATCTAAACCAAATATACACCAAGTTAATAATCTTAAATTGGCAGGAAATTGGAAACACTTTTGCCAAATACACGTATGTGACTTCCAACTAATCGGAACCAGTTTTTATCAGCCATTTTAATATGTAATTGGGTTCAGTGTTCGACATAACTGATATCTGCAATTAGAAAGCGTTTATTTTTTGCGTTGTGTTTACCGGAATTTAGGTCCGATAAAACAGTAGTTGGTATTTAGATTATAATTCAAGTTCAGTGTTATTTAGGTAATTGTTTTATAAAAGAATAAATAAATTCAGTTGTCATGGTCTTGGGTTCTATTAAATTTGCAAAAGTTTTGGAAAAATATAATATATCGTTATGCCTTTTAAACCCAGAATTTAGTAACTTCTTGCTTGCTTGCTTGCTAAGAAAATACCGAAAAGCGTAAGTACCTAATGGCCCAGGAATCGAACTCCAGACTCCTTGGTCGGCAGTCGTATCTGTACTGTGTATACTTGTTATGTAGTTAAGACTAACACGAAACTGACCCTGATCTAGATTAAATTATAACCAATTAGATAGATCTAGAAATATCATTTTTTTTTTTTTTTTTTTAAGGGGGGAAAATCATCGAATGACTGCTCCCGCCTGGGTGAGGCGGAAGGGAGTGTCAGACTCTTACTGACTAAAAACCACCCCGTTCCTTCTCCTGCACGTCGAGCCGGAGCCCCGGTTACCCGTTAGGTTCTCCGCGACTCCGAATCGGCATCGGCCCTATTGGGCCCCATCTGTGGTGGTCTGATGGCTCTTTGAGGCGCGCGCGGAACGCGACGCGCCGTACGCTCGGGTCTGTTTCTGGTCGGACGGGGAGCCACCCATGCTCGCCGTCCGCAGGCCCGCGCTTACGGTGGCCGGAGATCGTCCCGCGATCCCCGACGCCCGGTGTGTCCTTCGCGATGGCTGGGTCGCGAGGAGGCAGCGCTTCGCTGCCTCACGCGTCCCGCCTCCTCCTTAGCTAGCATGACTGCTTCGCAAAAGGAGGAGACGGCATCCCAGTCCCCCTCGCTCCGCATCATGGCCTGCACTAGGCCCGGACGCGAGAGGTCGCCATCGCCGATCACTTCCCTGAGGGCACGGCGGTGCTCAGCCCACGCAGGGCATTCCGCTACGGTGTGTTCCACCGTGTCCTCAGGGCGGTCCTCGCAGTGATGACACCCGGGCGTTTCCTCCCGCCCCATCAGACACAGGTACCTCCCGAAACTTCCATGTCCGGTGAGGACCTGCGTCAGGCGGTAGGTGAGGACGCCGTAGCGTCTCTCAAGCCACTCCTCAAAGAGGGGACTTACCGCTGCAATGGCAGCGAGCCCAATCTAGAAATATCATAAGACTACAATTAATTACACTGCCGATTTTACATCAGCACTGCGTCACAAAAGTCATTAGTTGATTATCTCAAACACTATTATTATCATACATAAATAATTATAAAAATAATGCAATAATACTGTTAATCGAAGGTATTTAATCTAATAAGCACATGTATCAGATGGATTCCTTGCGAATTCTTTACTTATCCGAAGATAATAGCTTTAATCTCTATTTTTATTTTTGTCTAATAATCGTAACATATAAATATTTGACGTATATACATACCTAATGTTGTCATATCCGTTGTTAATTCCTTTTGGTATATGCTGTTATATAACAATTATTATGTGAATGGATTTTTCTTTACCGAAACATTCCGAACCTGACCTGACCCTAAACTGATAGCTGACCTCTTTTTTACTTTCTAAATAGTAAAGCCCAGAAATTCGTCCATTATTATAGAATTAATTTTGTAACATAGTGAAGGTCCTACAGAGAAACTATAATAGTTTTCTATGTCACTATAACTACACACAAACCACTGCAGTATCAAAATACACACACATCAAGCTATGCAAAACCAGTATAAGCTGATCGTTGAATGTGCGAGAAGATCATAGAAAGCTAGATCATGATATATTGGTTGTGTATAGGTCGTTGTACAAAGCTACTTATCTAACAGGACAAACAATTTCCCAAACAAACATTCGCTCTTACCTCCACAGAACTTTAACTAGCTAACTAACTAAGCAAACTGTTAAATATTGTAGTTAAAACAAAACGTTTGCCTTAAGTGCTAACTTTCATTATACTGCTATGAACATTGCAGTTGCTTTTTAACTTAAACTCACATTATAAAGTTTCGACATTAATCTGTCAAACACCAAGCGGTCACCGGTGACCGCGGCCTATTGTTCTTTAATTGTGTCTATAAAACCGGTACTCGACGAGTTAATCTACTTTAAGTTATGTTTGTGGTCTTAAGTATTTTTCTAGGTTATTTTCATAATGCTTGGTGGTTTTAGGTGTCACGAGTATTTAAAAAAGGTTACTCATGGGACTTAGAATCCACAACTTGATTAAAGTTATTTACAATGCAAAGCTTTTCGTTAGTTAAAATATTAAAAACCCATCGAAAGAGCCATCAGACCACCGCAGATGGAGCCCAGTAAGGCTGATGCCCGATACAAAACCGCAGAAGGCCTAACGGGTTGCCGGTGCTCCAGCTTGGAGAGCAGGACTTGAAACGGGGTGGTTTTTAGTCAGTAAGAGTCTGACACTCTCTCTTGCCTAACCCAAGACGAGAGAAACCATTGGATGATTTCCCCCCTCAAAAAAAAGCTGTCTAAAAGTCTACACGTCCCTTTGGGGAATAAAATACCCGTTTTGGAGCTAGAAAAGACAATTAAGATTACGATCATTATCATCTCCATTTTAATTCGGGGACAAAATATTTTCACAAACGAAACAGCTACGCGTTCTATCTCTTTCACTCTGTCACAAACGTTGCCCTATTTCCTAGCCGTTGCAAAAGCGTCCCAAAAACGTCCGAGTAAGCAAATATTTAACTGAGATAGTGAAAATATTTACAAGTGCCAGTTACAAAGGGCTTGTTGCTAAAGAGGGAAATTCCTAGGCATCTTTGATACTTGAAACTGATGTCTTTAAACTCTGTAATGGTATTTTATTTAGAACCAACGTTAGACAGAAGAATGATACAAAAGATCGCGTTTGTATAAATATAGAGTATAAGCTAGTATCTTTGATACCTTAAACTGACATTTTTAAACTGAGATACTATTTTGTTTAGTGAAGACTTTGAAATGATACAAAGAATGCGTTCAAATTGCAAAATCTTCTATGAAGCTTTACTTTCAGTTTTTTGTTTCTAATTATAACCTTGTTAGAAGCGTTTATCTATTAAACTTAACAGCTATAAATCCAAATTCAATTATACTTATATCTTCAGAAAATTGGTCTTTTAAACTGTCAAACACCAAGCGGTCACCGGTGACCGTGACCTATTGTTCTTTAATTGTGTCTATAAAACCGGTACTCGACGAGTTAATACGAACATTGTCATTTCTGACACAACTTCTCTAACCATCTTTTTTCCTTGTTCACAGCTTCTCTCAGAAGGTAGACGAAGAAGAAGGGACGGGCGGGGTGGCTCTACATCCCCCCGACGGATTCTATACCCATCAGCATTCAATCCACGCCCATCATGCCCACACTGCAGAACCCGATCGAGGATACATGGAGGGCAACAGATATGTCACTGCAGTTCATCGACCTTTACCTGGTAAGTAGGAATTTTATGCCTTAGTTAAGGAAGATAGCAATCAATGGAATAGAGCATGTCTTATTAGGAGGTCTCCAAAAGTATACCTGCTATATTATTAGTTCCAAACGATGCGGGATGAGATCTTATGATGAGGAATTGTCTTGGAGAGTTACTAACATCTTACTTTAATTGCATATGATAAAATCTTTCTACTTGTGCATTTTGTGATAAACACAGTTTTCGAAACTTAACCCCTATCTGACCAGCTCTGAGTTCCTTGAACTTCTATCTCAAATGTAAATATCATTTGAATATTATAGCCTACATTTCTCTCGTATGGCCACAAGTACATGCAAGTACCAGCAACGAATTCCATATAATGCAATTCCAGCTCTAAACCACTCGAACTCGTCATGCTCGTCGGCGTCGAACGCGTCCACGGGGGCGGGGCTGTGCGTGGGCGCAGCCGAGCCGGCGCCACCGCTGTACATCGCCGCCCCACCAGAGGGCTTTGGACACGCGGTTCATACAAACAGGTCAGTGGAATGCAAACACAGCAATATTACCTTTTCTGTGCATAGCTATTGGGTCACATCAGTTGTATCTTTTATTTGTAATATAAATGTATGGGAATGGGTGTAGATTCATTGGTGATTAATTTATTGTATTGTATATGTTTAGTGTTGTCTTGTCTGTAAATAAATGTTTGGGTTATATGGTCTTATGGGAAATGTGATGGGGGAAATTGTCTTACTAACATGTGTATTATGTTTTCTTTACTTTTTAATTCCTTCCATAGGCGAGGCACAGATGTGTCCATCATGGGCATGGGTTCGACGGGGATCACCCAAAAAGATCCCACTTTACCCCAAAAAAGGGGTAAATTGACTAGAGGGTATGTCGTGAACCTCAGGAATGTGTATTGTGTGCCCTTAACACTTAGATAACACTTAACTCCTATCTAAACTCGAAAATAAAACTTTCTATTCTTTCAAATAAAATGAAAGATCGAATTCTAATCATTGCTGATACAAATTACAGAAGTGGGCTTTGTCTATATTTAAATTGTAGTTGCCAAACCAAAACGACTAATCACATAATAAAAATTGGTCCTTGTTCTAACCAACTCGATAAATTCCAAAAATTTTTTAGTCACCATAACTACCAAACCTCAATATTATGCAGTCTTATCATTTAAATCCGCACAATCGTAGCGATCCTTATCAGAGATTGGCATTTAATTTACCCTTGCAGCTGTCATTTGCATCCACAATCAGTAATTTCAAAGCCAGACGATAACAGACAACTGGTCCTTGTTGGTCCTTCGATACGAAATTGTAATTGAAATTAAATTTTCAATAAAATCTATCACAATTTGATTATGGACATAACCTTGTCTCAATGTAATTTGTATCAGATCATAAGTAATTTAATACTTCGCAATTCACCTGTTAAAACCAAGGCATGAATCTTAGTACTTGTAAGGTCCTGGTCCACTTTTTCGCATGACTTTATGAATTTACTGTGAAATATTCTTTTCCCCAACATTACTGCCGGGAAAAACACTAGGAGTGCAGATTATTTCAGTTGTATTCTTGTCTCTTGTTTCATTACCAATGGATTATGGTACCATTTCATACCATGAATATGGTTAAATAAATTGTTCTTAACAAACTGATAACTTTATGCATTATAACAAGAAAAATTAACTACTACAAAATGCTATATCATGTAAAACTTTAAATGGCAATTAAAAAGTAATTAGTATATAAATATTTTTGTGATAATTTCATCGGAAACGTTGTAACCGTTTTTTTTCTCTTCCTTGGCAAACGAGTCTTCAAAACGATCTTGTCGACTATACTGCCAGTGTTTAGTGGTGACGGCAGTTTAATGAACCGTCGAAATTAACTTTGTGGTAGTTTTTAGTTGTTAGTATATGATCGTTGTAACCAATTCAAGGTTAGACATAACGTCAAAAATGTAAATTCTACGTCATCAGAAGCAATGTCAACATTTCTGTTTACAATTTTTGCTAGCCCTGAAAATATAAAAAGCTATACTTAGTCTCCCTTTTTTTTCTTACAAAAAAATATGTATCTTCTTACATCGACGGCCAATTTATTATTGTCTAGTAACAAAAACCACAAATGAATTTGTCATTAAGTACCTATCCTTACTAATGACATCTAATCATGCAGTTAAAGTGGACCTAATTTGATTGAAAGCTTAAAAATCTTAAGTAAGTCTTGAAAAGTTAACAGCATGTATCTTCTACTAAACAATTTACTTGTAATTTGAAATCCTCTTCTAATATTAAGATCATTCATAACGCTATGAAAAACTTTCTTGCAACGACAATCTACTGTCTATTAGATTTTTGGCAATACCTCATTAGTTCTCACTTTAACACGAATTGATATAATTAGACCCTTCAGTAAAATTTCAGTCTTATTCATTAAGATAATAAAATCTATTTTAGCTATGGATTTTATATATTTTTCATTCAGAAATATTTTGACAAAATTTTCCATTAGCTAAATATTTTTGTGAATAATGCAAATACTTTAAATAGAATGCAGGTTTTAATATAATCATATATCTTATTACTATAAACAAAATAAAAGAACCTTACTCTCATCAAATAATTTAATCGATTAATCTGAATGAAATAATCTTCTTCAAAAACCTATCATTTGAATGAGCACTAACCTTCTAATTTCATCCCTGTACATGTATTGGTAAAATGAACATCAAGTTGTTAAAATACCCATTCACACAACACCACACAATCTTGCTTGTCCAAAAATATCAAAATTATAAAATAATCCTCTCGTTACAGTAATAGATCATTTTGTTCCATCAAACCCTTCTTCGTTTACTTGATCACAATATTTCTTAAGAAATTGGTCTTCTATACCTTTCTATCTCTAATGCTTATTACATTATAATGAAATTAGAAATTCTAATTAGGATTTGCTAAGAATTACGTTTTACTAATGCTATAAGGGAAAGTGCATTAATAATGCTATTACCGCAGTCTTCATTTCATAATGACACGCGAGGTTTAATTTGATGGAAAACTTTTCTATGACCTTTCTCTTACATGTAGACAGAGCATCAATCTTGTGAACTTAGTCCTACCTAGAGAATGTAGTTATTTGAAATCTTCTTCATCGTAGTTCTGTATTTTAAAGATGGATCAATCATTTATCGGTTCCAAAACTTGAAAATAGAACACATACCATGTATCCTACTGCTGTCCCCAACACAAAATCCAGTGCAGCACACCCATCACACAACACAGCTTACCAAAGATGTTCATTTTACCATCCCCAAAAACCCCAAATTCATTACAAAATCACCTTCCAGCCGTTATGAAATGTCTCAAGACCTTCTGGACAAACAAACGGAGATCCTAGAACGGAGGTACGGAGGGTTAAGAGCAAGGAGGGCTGCGGTGACCATCCAGAGGGCGTTTAGGAGACGACAGCTGCTGAAGAAGTTTAGTGCCATCACAGCTATGGCTAAGGCCGCTGACTCGAACGCAAGGAGGCTGCAAGATGGGCCCGAACATGGGCAACTAGTCAATGGTGTGTATATCTTCTTATTCCTCTAAATTTTTCTAAAACTATTAGGTCTAAAAAGAAGATATGTGTTTCTCGTTAATTCTAGGTTTAGGTTTCGTTTTCCCTAGGATAGGTACTAGGATATTCTCCTGTGTATTTTTTATGGCTTTCTGCTTGAGTCTTGAAAATATAGCAATTTCAGTTTTACCTCATTTTAAGTTATCTGCACCAAAAGCCGATTTAGCCCGTTATGTTAGTCCCAATATAATGACTGGGCTGTGATACTAAAGGTATCTAATTTTTAAATGTCATGAATTTTTTTTCGTCGTTTAATCGTGTCTTCATTATTATTTATGATTGTAGGTACAGATATATACGCAAACACACTACTACAGAAGAGCCCTGGTGGTGTGGAGAAGTCCTTAGCACTGACCAGGCCCATGAGGTCCATGTCGTTACGGGAACGTCACGACATTGATATGAGGTAAGAAAAAAATTCTTGGTACATTTGTGGCTTTATGTTGTCAAAATATGTTCGTCTATCATGAAGGTGGAATTGGATATCCATTTTAATGTCCAATATGTAAGAAAAGGAACAGATAAGATCAATGAAAATATAACCCTCCATCTGAAACAGTCGGGTAAAGGTATTATGGGATCGAAACTTGGTCCTCATTTCTATCATTCAAGCCAGGTGCTGAAAATTTTACTTTGATATAACTACATATTATTATTAATTTTTAGATCAGAGATAGTTTAATGCAAAAAAAAACACTACAATACGAACGAATTGAATACCATGCCATTAAAGAAAATATCAAAACCAAAGCACTTAACAACAATTTCGTATTAAAAGTCTACAAACTCAATCGTCACACTTACAATGCCCAAAGACCTTATTTAATACTTATACATAAAATGTACTTAACATTACATAAAAAACGGTAACAAACCAATCGTTTTGTTACAAGTTCTCACCATGAATACTAAAATACAAATAATGTTTAACAGAGGTCGCTTACTTAATTTATAATCAGGCGACGCCCGTTATCTTTACGGCCTGAAAGTAGCGCGCATATTTAAATAATTTACCTCTGCAAATATGTAAATTACAACTCTATTTTGTATGCTATAAAGTCTCATTTTGTAGTGATTCTGGTCCTTTTGGTCCTTTTGGTGAAATATTGTAAGATGTGTTGTAAGGTGACTTGGGTCCCAAAGGACCATGATTGGGTTTTTCAGGGATTCGATTACTCGTTTGTTAATATTTATGCTGGTAAGGGTTAAGGCAGTTTTTAATGTGTGGTTTGTAAATAAATAACGATCAAGTCAAGCTAAAGGTTTATTTATTTTATCATCAATTTTTGCTATTGTGTGAAGTAGCTTTATGTCGGTACATCATTTTGGCAGCCATTGTTTCGTGCCAATTGGAAGGTTATGGAGTTTATGGTGTTATCTAATAAGAAGTTTTAGTAGAAAAGGAAAGTGTATGCTGTAACTTCCAGGTCAAAGAAGCATTGAAACAATACATTTTGATACTGAAAATTGATTTCAATGCCAACATTATTTACGTGACCAATATTTTAGATACAATAACGATACTCTTAAAATTGTTAAGAATACGGCACTTGACTTATTGCTAATTAACTTTTACCCTATTTCCAGCAATCACATGGTCTGCGACCCTCAAAGCGAGGTGGAAGCCATGGTGGCAAGAGTCCAGCAGTCAGCCCATCAGATTCACATGATCGCAGCTGATATGCCACCCCTACACCGCGGAGATGCTGACAGTGGGGTAAGCACAACTGCATACTATTTGTTACACTAATATCACCCTTTAGACTGGTAGATAAGGCTGTTATTTGGGCACCTGTATATTGCACTTATGCACTTTATGTAGGTAAGCGGTAAATAACATGTCACTAGCTATACAAGCTTGATTATTAATGGTAAAGGTCTTGATTAACCATTTCCTTTTTAACCCTTGGTCTCAGGTGATTTGGACTAACCATGTACATAAGGGTTCGGTATAATACTCTATATTCGAAACAATAAACTATCTCTAATATTTAAAATATATTTTTGACAGCTGTCATTATGACATTGACATTTGTCACATCAAACTGACAGCTGTCAAATCAAATTTTTATTTGGGGTAATATTGGTGCTATTATATTGCTATCAGTTTTTTTAAATTATGTACATAATATGATTAGGCCATGAGTCAACGAATTAATTAATTAATTGATGTTAAAAAGGATATCCTTTGATTTGTCCAATAGATTAGATTGCTCATCCCCTTAGAATCCGGGATTGAAGTAGCACATATTTTTTGAATGATGTCAGCTTATCAATACATTATATGCATAAAATATTTGGCCACATTTGATAAGATAATCAAGCGCCAGGTATTTTTTGAGTTTATATTTCATCATTCACTTTGATACGATATAATCCTTTAACCTTGATGGAAGGCAAAGATTTTTTCTGTCTCTTAACAGACCTTAACAGTGATAGTGATTACTTATTTATAACAAAATCCACAGTTTTGAAACAATACAGACAACATCTACAAACCATTATGGAACCATGGAGTTTCTTGCTCGTTCTTCTCCATTTGAAACTACGCTTTGGAACGACTATCTAGCTTTACTGACAAACGGACGGACAATTCACATTATGACGTTTCAAACGTGATTAATAATGATTGATTGAAACAAATTCACAATTTACTAATTAATTAGATAACTCGCTACAGAACTGAACATGAGTTTGCAATTTACCAACTTATAATTATGTCTGTTATAAGGTATAAAACTTGTAAATAAATCCAACATAATTCTGCTTACCCCTTTTCGAGGAAGCGCGTACTGCTAAGGCAAATCGTACATAAGAAAAATATACTTAAATATATAAACAATAAAAAAAATAGTTCCGCGAAATTATTTTCTTCGAGGAAGTTTAGACTGTACTAATATTGAAATATTAAAATAAATTCTAGTTATATATACAGAACTATTTTATCTCATACCCACCTGAATACTTCCGTTTCTATGTAAACTAAATACCTAATTGTGTTTGCGAATACTTCATTCATAATGATCCTATCACGATTATCAAATACTTTTTTATCATGTCACTGATAATGTCATAAAATAACTTTGCCCAACTAATTATGATGTTGTTCTTATTCATTATATTATCATTATACGGCCTGACGTCGACGTGGAACGACGTCAAGTTGTATTAAAAAGATTTTAATAAAATGGACAAATCAAAGGACAGAGATATTGTTAGGAGTGTAATGAAAAATAGAAATGTTATTTTGAAGAAAGTTAAAAAACTAAAACTGTGGCGGTTTACCGGCAATTACAAAGTGTGTGTATTTTTATTCTGTGTTGTGTTGTAAATTATATATAGATGTTTTCATTTATGTATTGAGTTTTGTGCAACTGTGAATAAATTTGCTTCCTTGTGCGTACTGCGTCTGAGTCTGTATTGCCTGAAGGGTATGGGTACCTGGGTGTCTTCAAGACCCGAGTGAATAGGTTACTTATAGGACGTCGTGTTCTGTCGTAGACCGCATCATCGCTTACCACCAAGCGAGATAGTGGTCAAACGTGGGCCCATCAAATATAAAAAAAACATTTATGTTTGATTCCCAAGTTAAAGGTTTAATTTTAGTGCTATTTAGTGAGTTCATTATACTTTGCAGAGTGATTTTACAACCTGACAATCTGCCACGCTCTACTTTTTCATTTTAAGCTGGCAAACTAAACCAATAATTATCTTTCGACTTAACAAAACATTCTGAAATATTTACTGGTTTACCTTTAGCATCTCTCCTATACCCTAAGAAAAGAATACAGTTAGGCACTGTCTATGAAGAAAAGGAAGAATCTTTATTTTTTCATATTACAGGATAGAATACATTAATGAAAACATAACATAACATCACGCCTTTTACCTCCGAAGGGGTAGGCAGAGGTGCAAATTACAGCACTTAATGCCACTATACAATGTAACACCAACTTTTTACTACTTATGTTATGAGTTCCATATAATAGGGGGTGAGCCTCTTGACTGATAATTAAGACATACTCTCTTTCCAACACTTAATCCCAAATAATAAACTTCATCATCATCATCAAAAGCCGGAAGACGTCCACTGTTGAATAAAGGTCTCCCCTTTAGTCCTCCTCGTCGAACGACAACTCGCCACCAGCATCTACTAACTCCCCGCATGATGATGTCGTCACTAACATACTCACAAAAGTAATAATAATAATTATACTTTTATCATTTCCAGGTGTGCAGTTGTTCAGTAAGCGGCTCCGTCACCAACATATCTACGTCCTCATCACACAATGAATCTCTACACAACCATCAGTTATTAAATAATACAGGTAAATAATGTATTCTTTTAATTGTATACTTTATTGTTCATAAGAAGGGTAAAGAAATTCCTACTTTAAGTAACATAAAATACAGTTTATTTTAGATTAAATTGAATACTCCACTAAATTTTGTAAAGATTGCGATGTACTGTCGATGCTCCAGAGATGAGTTCGTCAAGCGATTCTTCTGAAACTCATCTTATTGTCTAGATTATAAAGTGCATTTTTGTGTTGTGCTAAATTGTGCACACTTTCTTTTATTCCGTATTTTCAAGTTCATATATTTAAGTTATATTATTGCATGGGCTTCAAACTCAAACTCAAAGTCATTATTTGCATGTTAAGGTAATACATACAGGTCTTATGAAATAACAGGCACAGCTTAACGGCCATTTTCAGGCAAATAATTTGAAAGAATAATCATTAATAACTATGAGTATCTGCTTATTCTATATTATTTATACAAGAGATAACAATATAAGAAATACAAATACCCATTTTTATTTTTATCTACAAGTTTGCAATTTAGTCCTGAGTTATCAAAGAAATTTCCCCCGTCATGGCAAAGTAAATAGCATTCTTATAAGGAATTTTATCTTAGGTAGACACTTTCTTGTGATGCTGTGTTTACTAAAGATATATAGAATCAACATATCAGTAGAGTAGAAGGAAATCTTTGCTGTTTTATTGTTTCCTATAAAGCGTAATATAGAAAAATGAAATAATATTGCTTCTTTAATAAGGTTTTTTGACACTCCTTGGATTAGACTAGACTAAACCACGTGACTTCATTGGTTTATTAATATATTAGTTCGTTGTTCCCTACAATCCCAATGTAGAATTATGCTGCGGTTAAGCAATTGGGTAGTATCCTGAATCAAAAATAAATTATTTTGATTTTTCAGTCCAACTGAATATTGAAAAATAGTTATACTTTCATTCATTGATTTGACGATATACTTATTTTAGATTCATTCTAGCATTTTTTTTAGATATAAGTGTGCTATTTGACGCGAAAATATGATGACGTCATAAGATGGTAGGTATTTCGTACAAAATTCATAGAACAGTATCGTTTTTAACGTTTCGATAAAAGTATTGAATTTGACTAGTTGTCAACTACCGTATTTATGAAAACGTAACAAAAATATTATATTTGTCATACATTAGTATTATGCGCAAATGTAGTTTGTAGAGCAGTATATGTAAAGATATAGTATGCTCAATTTGAAACTATTTTCTACATTATTTATGTATTAAATAACACAACCATTGGTTCGATCTGGAAACCAAAAGTCTCTCACCTTTTGTTCTACATTCATACTTATCAAATCACCTTACAAACGATTTTGTCTATTTACAAATTAATAAATCACCATTTTAGTAACAAGGTGATCTATATCGAATTAAAATAGTATTTATTTATTACGCCGTTGGTAAATTAGGACCACAATATTGTAGGTAGTAATACCAAATTAAATAAACAAATACACCAGTATACCAAGTTATACACCAGTATACCAAGTCAAGTAAGAATTCTGGCGCAATATAGATTTTTTATGGGATGAGGCTTCAAAGGAGCGTACGAATCACCTATGATGATCTTTTTACTGCACGGTTGGGCAACTGGCTGCCGCGCAGTGCCATCGATCCATAGATTGTTGTTCCGGGTCTGGGTGTCACGTGTATGTGAACTTGTATGTTTATAAACGCACCCATGACACAGGAGAAAATCCTAGTGTGGGGCAACGTTTAAAAAAAAGGGATGATGGGGGAGAATTAAGCATTCTGTAAACTTATTCAGATTCTTTAAAGTAACTCAATTAGTAATATTTTTTTTTTATTCCAGGCCCAATATACGGCAACCTGCTATCATCAGGTGGCAAGCCGCTGTCGTCACCGACAGCTCGTCAGCAACAACAGCTAGCTGCTATCCAAGCTGCGAACGCCCGGCGACTCCCGCCAGAAGTACCGAAGCGGACTAGCAGTATTACACTCAAGTAGGTTACATTTACTATTCATTTATTGCACGGTTGGCGCGGTGCCTGGGCAACTGGCCGCTGCACAACGGGGTCGCATCCCGTGCGAAACAACTCGTTATATGATCCACAGATTGTTGTTCCTGGTCTGCGTGTGATGTGTATGTGATATTGTATGTTTGTAAACGCACCCACGAAACAGGAATCCTAGGGTGGGGCAACTGTTTTTTTTTTAATATATTGAAATTAAATTAGTCGTTAGTGAACTTATGTCCAAATTTAATTACATAGTATTATAAGTGTTTCCCCCCAAAAAATCTCAAGGTCTATTGAAATAATTTTGTTTAGCTAATCTGAAGGAAATAATTATTGATGTTAATTACCTAATTGACTGCCTCGTTGGCCGAGTGGTCGCAAGTGCGACTTTCGGGCAAGGGGTCTCGAGTTCGATTCCCGGGTCGGGCAATATCACGGAGCATGAACATGTGGCCAGTATATGGCAATAGGCTCACCCCCTATATACATATACATTTTAGAGTGGCATTGAGTTCCGCAATGTGCACCTCTGCCTACCCCTTCGGAAATGAAAGGCGTGTTGTTATGATGTTATGTTAATTAACGTAAAATTGTGATCACTTCATCGTTAATCTATGTCCAAAATTCGAAAATACAAAGTTTATTTCACATCACAAATGCTAATAATAGCATTTGTGATTCTTATTACCATTTAAAGTTCAAATAAATAATAAAAATAAAAATTTCTCTAAACTTAATTTGATTACGCCTGGTAATCGAAATTACATTAAAATGCGTTTTTCTCAGTGCGGAGAGTCCAGTCTCGCTTCGTCGAGCTGAATGTGGCGCAGTGGTCCGCGGTGGCTCCATGTCCTCAGTGCAATCCTCCTCATCATCGTCGTCACAGGAGCACCGCCACCACTACCATCAGCCCTACCAACCTAGAGCTCCGGTAAGTAGACTTTAATAATATTAGAGTTGTTTTATGTGCCTATAAAGTACTTTCAAGGCAGGAAATAGCTATTCATAAGTGAAATGTAGCAGCTTAGTACTGTTGAAGAATAGGGAAGGTGACAGGGTATGAAAATTAAAAATCTAATTAGTCCGTCAGTTAGGTAATGAAAATAATTAGACACGTATATTTTTTATTTAATCGTATAAGAAAACAATACTTGTATAAAACGAATGAAAGTCAATATTTTATGTAATTATTTTATGCTGTAAAAATACATATATAAGTATAGAATATTAATTGCATCGAACATTTTTCTTTGAATGCAACTCAGGTTGAAATCGTAAGCAATTTTTGAAGTACCTTTTTGTAATCACCAATTTTAATATTATTACTCTGAATGACGTATAAGTGAACCTTGTCCTGAATGTGGCATGTTCCCCTCTAGGAGCCCGTGCAGGCGGCGTACGCAGGTCGTGGAGCTGGGTACGAGGAGAGGTTCTCAGTGTGGAAGCGCCAGGACGGGCCGCCGTACTACGAGGCGCCGGCCGCCGCCTGCTGCCGGCCCGCGCACGACCTGCTCCCGCACGCGCACCAGGCGCACAAGGTCACCCGCACTACTCCTGCCTACTACTTACACCACCATATGTTCCTATCTACATTTTTCTATCCCTATAACATAATACACTGCCCCAAAGAAACACTTTTTATACATCTAGATATTCTAGAAACACTCTGTATGTTTTATTACTACAATTCTTTTGAATAATCTCTATTGTCTTTTATTAGTTTGAACATGAAATTATTTAATTTTCATCTTTTCAACCATTCTAAGAGCATTTTCTGTGATGCTTCCGTTTTACTTTTGTGGAAACCCTTTTTCTAATATATTTTCTCTATAAACCAGCACTTTAACAAGTTTTTACACTTAATCCTTACCACATTTGATTCAAAAACAAAATCTCTAACAAAAATGTCATCAACAGGTCTCAGAAACGGTTCGCAAGCGCCAATACCGCGTTGGTCTGAACCTCTTCAACAAGAAGCCAGAGCGAGGCATCGCCTACCTGATCTCCCGTGGCTTCCTCGAGAACTCCCCTCGAGGCGTCGCCAGGTTCCTCATCACAAGGAAGGGACTTAGCAAGCAAATGATCGGAGAATATCTTGGCAATCTGCAGAATCCGTTCAATATGGCTGTGCTTGAGTGAGTATAATATTGTACACATATTGCAACTATACATTCTACAACCAACCTCTTGTGAAAGAATAAACAAAAAAACAACATTGAATATTAAAAAAAAAACGAGAAATAAAGAATTTCATTGTTTATGAACTTTAAAATTTTATTGTCTGATCGAAATTAACAGTAGTTCATAGTTTCTTAGCATTTGCAAATGAAACAATATTTTATTGTCACAAAAGCTAAACTTTAAAAAATGATAATAAAAAACATGATAATAAAATAATGACAATAAATGAGATATATCACATAATTTAGACGGCATTCATTTTGATTAAGGCTACCAACACTTGTCATAAAAAAGACTATAAGCGCCGGTTACACCACCTCCTTATAAGTACCTGATAAACTTATGTGACAGATAGATCATACAGCTTACGTTTTTAATAAAATTTTATATGGTAGATAACAGCTAACCAGATATTGTGAAACGGCCCTAAATCTATTTTCTTACTTACAGGTGCTTCGTAAACGAGTTAGATCTATCGGGTATGGCAGTGGACGTGGCGCTCCGTCGCTACCAGGCACACTTCCGCCTGCCAGGCGAGGCCCAGAAGATAGAGCGACTGGTGGAAGCCTTCGCTAGGAGGTACTGCGTTTGTAACCCTGACTTCGTGCAGAGATTGAGGACTCAGGATACGGTGAGTCGGGGTCTAATACATTTTTTGGAAAATTATGTGACTGCCATTTTATTTATGATTTGAATTGGATAATGGTTTTGCAATTGCACATCTAAAAGGTTTTAGATACAAAGTGCAAATCATTCGGTATCTTTTATTGTGGTATTTGGCAATTTTTTTTGACATTTTTGGCCTTTTTTAACCTTCTGTTTCAACACTTATTAAAGTAGCATATACAAGTAGCATTTTGCATATAAATTATATAAAAATGTTTAAAATGAATACTAGGAATATACTTTTACTGCTTTCTTTGTTATTGTTAGAATTTGTTGCGTAATTTAGACTTAATGTCAAATGGCAAGAAGTTTATATTTGATAAAAAAAATATCTAGCGTCGTGAATACCTACGTGTTTTATTTTTTATTTATCTGTATCAGGCAACGAAGGCCCATATTAAAATACAATTATACTGTAATATCTACTACAATTTTATCTTTAAATACTATAAATACATATGTGGTGTTTTAGACACACATGTCACATATTATTAACAAAATTAATTAACAATTAACAATATTCTTTATTCACAGATATTCGTCCTAGCATTCGCCATAATAATGCTGAACACGGACTTGCACACACCGAACCTCAAACCCGAAGCTCGGATGTCATTGGATGACTTCGTACGCAACCTGCGCGGTATAGATGACTGCGGCGACATAGATCGAGATATGCTGGCCGGTATATACGATCGGGTGAAGTCCAGCGAGTTTAGACCCGGCAGTGATCATGTCACGCAGGTGAATATTGACTCTATTTGTTTAATGTTAGAGTTTGTTTTGTAAGTTAATGGTAAAGACACGCAATACAGAAACCAGGGGAAGTGTGATATAGGCGTGACACGCGTGTCATAATTAAATTCATTGGTCTTACTTCGCTTTAGATAGATTCATAGACGATTCTATCAACGGGTGAAGTCACGTCTCGAAATAAATATTTTTATCCGGAAATATTGTATTGATGTTAAGAATTCATCCAGATGAAGCTCAAAAGTTCAAAACTTTCTTCTGATTTATTATTTTCTGATCCAATTTACCATAATAAAGTCATAAGTAGAGCCATAAGAGGTGTATAAGAAACCCGTTAGTACCGTAGTTTTGCACCATACGACTATCTAATCATATTCCATTATCTTCCAGGTAATGAAAGTCCAAGCGACAATAGTAGGCAAAAAGCCTCACCTGGCCCTGCCACACCGCCGCCTCGTCTGCTACTGTCGGCTCTACGAGATACCTGACATACACAAGAAGGAACGACCCGGGGTGCATCAGAGAGAGGTAATAATAGTAATTACAAAATGTATTTTTTTTAATGTTGATCCACACTAGGATTTTATCCTGTGCTGTGGATTACAAACATACAAATTCACATACACTTGACACCCAGAACTACAATCTGTGGATCACACAGAGTCGTTCCGCGCGGGAATCGAACCCGCGACACGTTGCACGGAAACAACTGGATTGATTCAGCTAGATTAACTTAGTGTTGCGAATGTCTATCGGTGGCAGTAATCGCTTACTATCAAGTTGTGCGTCGATCCTATTAAAATCAATCGGGCATAAAGTATCGAAATTAAAAAACTTACAGCTAAGAAGTTGGCTAATTTTAAACGACAAGTTCCCAGTAAACAATTAAAGTTTAGACATGGGCAGTAATAGCGAAACCTCATACAAGGTTTACTACAAATTATTTTCATATGAAATTCACGCTAACATCTCTTAAAACATTGCTAGCTAGAAACAACCTTATATTCATAAAAATAATGACTAATCTTCTTTGTACCTTCCAGGTGTTCCTGTTCAACGATCTACTGGTGATTACAAAGATCTTCAGTAAGAAGAAGTCGTCAGTAACGTACACGTTCCGCCAGTCCTTCCCGCTCTGTGGCATGCTCGTCAACCTGTTCTCTGTGCCACGTGAGTTTATACTTTCTAACTATGGATTAAGGTTGGAAATCTTTAAAAAACAAAAAAAGCAACACTCCATTATAGGCAGCACTACTGGACTTTGAGAATCCACTACATATGAGGTGTTTACCATAATCTGCACAGTTGGCGAATGGGTTGGAGAAAAATCACACCTTTTACAACAAAAAGAATTCTATAGAAATTTTATTTTCAATATTTTTCAGTAGTATCATTTAGTTTGGAATTATATCCAGTATATAGAAATAGGTTCAGTTATGTTATGTTTGCACCTTGACTCCTAGTGGGACGAAGACACCCATGATTTTGTCCTATGATGTATTTATTTATGTGTTTATTTCCAGACTATCCCTTCGGCATCCGTCTATCCCGCCGCGTAGACAGTCGACGTCTGGCAACATTCAACGCTCGCAACGAACATGACCGGTGCAAGTTTGCAGAGGACCTGCGAGAGAGCATTGCCGAGATGGATGAGATGGAGGCCATGAGGATTGAGGGAGAACTCAACAGGGGGAAGGGAAGAACTGCCGGGAATTCGGCTAGGAATGGTCAGTATTAAGGCCCGGAGGTTTAAGGCGCCCGATTCAAATGAGGGTGCGGTTTCGAAACCTACCAACGGCATAGCAATGTGACTTTTCCGAGTTATATGTACTTTCTAAGATTATTTAGACACTACTGGCAAACGACTAAGGAAAAGGAAACATAGGCTTATAAGTTCTAAATATAAGTTTGAAATCACCAACCCGCATTAGGCAAGCATGGTGAAGTGAATGAGTAGACGAGACGACTTCGTATGAGAAGACGCCTTTGGTCAACAGTGGCCACTTATAGTCTGTTGTGATAATGAGATTTTGGAATGAACAATAAGATTGCTAGAAGAAAAAATAGTTTAGTACAATGTTTTATTAAAAATCTGTATTTTTATTTACAGTGATGGAGAACAGAGACAGTGGTGTCGCTGACGTGGAAATTGATCATCAGCAGTGCATGGATCATGTTCATATGCATGGGTAAGATATATTTTATGTACAATCTTTAGTATACGTATGAACTTTTAAAATTTTATGATGGTAATATTAGACGCAGCTTTTCATATAAATCACAATAAAATATGATACAAAACACAAAACAAATAACGCGAGTACGACGTTGTGCTCCTTTGAGTCCTATTGTTATTTGTTTTTTAGCAACTTCCTAATTTTAGTAACCAAATAATTGTTGTCTTCTTGTAGTAATTGGTCTAGCTGTTAACAAATTAAAATATTTAATGATAAACAAAGATATTAATAGCGATCTTTCTCCCACAGCGTGGTGGTCCCCCCTCCCCCCTCGTGCCCGGCCCCCGCGGCCCCGCTCCGCGCCCAGAACCCGCCCCCAACCACCATCATTAAGCGGAATGTGCTCAGCAACTCACTCGTTGATATCAATGATCCCGGTAAGTAATAAATATTTTATTTTTATACTAAAAAAAAAGTATTAAGGTTATTTTTCTACTAATAAATCTTCCAGGTCGTCTGATGGTAAGCTGTCATCATATCTTAAGTAAATAAGTACACTCAGGAATTTTCATTGGCATACTCTTTTTGAAGAATCCTAAGAAGAAAAAGCCCCAACGAGAAAAATAACCTTTATTTCTTTTGTCTGTCTGTTCTATCACTTTATCCGTGAAAATTTACTAGCATGATATCTCAAAACATTCTGCTACAAAAAGTAAAGAACTCAACATGATTACTTTAACTTACATTCCAAAAATTCAAGCAAAATGTTGTAATGAATAGCAAGTATATAAATAATAATAACCATCCCCCATCCTCAGTGGCATTAGCAGCGGAGCGTCTCCAGCGGCGCGGCTCCGTGGGGTCCCTGGACAGCGGGATGTCCGTCTCCTTCCAACAGGGGAGCAGGACGGCACTGCATGCTACGTCACCGAGACATCCTAATGAACAACGATCTCCGGGTATGTCAAATACTATATTGATACATAAAAAAACATCGATTTGTTACTTATTTCTGTAACTGACTGGCTCGTTGGCCGAGTGGTCGCAAGCGCGACTGCCAGGTCAGGGGTCTCGGGTTCGATACCCGGGTCGGGCGAAGTATTACAGGGATTTATAAAATAATTCAGTGATAGCACGGAGTCTGGAAATGTGCCCGGTATATGGCAATAGGCTCACCCTCTATTACAGGGGAGTCATAACATTAATAGTGAAAAGTGGGTGTTACATTGTACGGTGGATGTTATGTTTTATGTTTCTGTAACTGTTGTACAGATTATACGTTAATAGTTTAAGTATCAGGTTAAACAAAATAACATTAAAATTCAAAATAGTATCAAATAAGGGAGGTAATAAGGTGTAGTTTGATTGCTCTTCTCAGTCAGTGAATCACCTGATATTATCATATTAGATAAGACAGTGAATCAATGGGATAGTAATACATAATCAACTATTTAGTTATTAACATGATATCTATTCCGGCGGGCATAATAGTTGGTTTAAAATTCTAATTATATTTTCTCATTTTCCAGGTCGTTTGTTTGGAGGCATTAGCGGCATCAGTGGCATATTCCCAGGACGTATACGTAAATTAAGCGCTTCCGGAATTCCGGACAACAAGCACGGACAAGTCGGCAAGAGCACCGAAGTCTAAACATCACAACGCAACGGTATACATCGTTATATTTTGAATTTGAACTCCCAACGAATTCTCGATCCTGATTGGTCGAATTCATTAGCCGATGGTTCACGAACGCATTCGGGAACTTTCGATTTATTCTATGAGTAAAAAGGTTTGCTCTTAAAGGTGATTGTCGTATTAAATGTAATAGTTTCATTATTTAAATGGTCGGGTACCTCATTTTCTAAGTGCCATTCTTTTATTTCATCGCACTCGATTGTAATCTTCAAGCTGATTTGATTTTTAAGGTGATTAATATTATAATGATATTCACAAATGATATTATGCACGTAGAAGGGTTATTTTCCCTTGTTAAGTCGTAATTATAGGTCGTCTTCGGAAACTATGATGTTATACTAGATTCCTTGAAGACCAGTATAAGCGTAAAGTCCTTTGTGAATATTTCAAATTCGCATCGATACCTCGATAAGGTATACGGATACAATTTTTACTCTAGTAAAAATATCTATCAATTACTCAAATATTCAGTCATATGTAGCCTTAAAGCTACACTTGACATTATAAACTACACTAAAGTCATAAAATTGACTTCCTTCTGTAGCTGCGACGGTTAAAAGTTACATTTCAGCTACATGTGACTTTAGCTCCGTCAGAGCTCGGCTACACTTGACACTTTTTGTATCTGTGGTTCTAACCAGGGTAGGTTACTGTTGATAGGCATTTGGGGTGGTTTTGGATAATTTGTATTTTATATACAAACGTGCCAACTGAGTCTGGTACTCGAATTTATTAATATAACAATGATACAATTGACTATGATACGTACACGAAATGACGTTAAAACTATGACTTTGAAGGAATACTTTAATGGCTACTAATATTTGTTTCTCGTAGCCCGAAATACAGTAAAATTTAGTATATTTCTCTTCAATAAAAAGTAGCTATTCAAATAAAATATAGACGAAAAAAACTTGGACGTAGAAAAAATTAAAAAGAATAAGCCTCATTTTTAATTAAAGAGGTTGTTATAACGAAAAAGTATAGATAATGGGAGTTTCGTATGAATCGAAGATAATATTGGGTCCACGTTTATGAAGGTATATAATTCTTAGATGTTGGAGTGAATCCCTCACTATTCCTGTAGAAAGACTACAAATAGACATTCCTAAATACAAATAAAACTGCTTTAGTTAAAGTATTTATTCTGAAATGGCAGACAATAATAAATTAATAAAATGGCAACATACCAAAATATTTTCAAATCTTGCAACACTTATGTTCTGGACAATGCACGTCACTTTATTGAACCTTCTGTTAAATCATGATTCTTATCACAAAGTTAGATTACAATTATACATTATTGACGGTTATAAAATAGTACATACTGACTTTTTATGTAGTCATTTGTATCCCAGGAATAGTGTAGTGATTCTAAATCTAGCTAGAGTTATGTGGAATTACTGGACGGTACCGAGGGAAACATAACCGCCGATTACTCAAACACAGTTTCAATTGAAGCGACAAACAGTCTCCAATAAGTAAACTGTAGTCTCAGTATTCGGCGATAAATAAAATTTAAATTAAATATTAAATTGCGTCAAATCAATATTCACTTTTTAGATTCACATTTAAAACATATTTTCCATTGCATGTTACCAACCGAAAAGTATTATAAAGATTACTTTTAATAATATTAAAAAAAAGAAAATTTTATCTTTAGAAAATTCATAATATTTTCCGTAGAATAATTGTACATACGTTTGGAATAGCGAATACAATAGAGTTTCTGGAGTACACAAATTATTTCAGCACAGAGAAATACATAGACATCACAGTTTAAAAAAATATTTATTATAATAAAAATAAAAAATACGAATTTATTCACTATTGTTGATGAATTTTATTAGATTAGGCGATTTGAGGAATTTTAATATAGGATAGTAACCTTTTGATTCCTGGAGTAGGTAGAGACCTGTCGTCAACATTATGATGTCCATAAACACCTGGAAAGATGAGGGGCCTTTTGTCACCAAGAAACAATATTGTTAGAACATCCACCGGGAACTTGACACAACTGCTTCACTGAGTACTTTTTGTCAATATAGAACAACATAATTGGGTACTCGCTTACTAGTAAAATTCAATACTTTTTTCGAACTGTCAAAAACGAGAGTTTTCTATGAATTTTGTTCGAAATTGTGTATTGTGACGTCACGTTCTTTTAGCGTCAAACGGTATATTTATATTTCTTAAATTTGCTGGAAAGATACTAAAATTAAGTTGGTCATAAAATCGATAAATGAAAGTGTGATGATTAAGGAAAGTATCCAATTATATTCCAATGATTTGGAGTCACAGTCCCTCTTCCCCAAAGGCAATGAACTTGTAACTCCATTAGTGTTGCAAGCGTCCATGGATGGCACTGATTGCTTACCATTAGGTGATACGTCTGCTCGTTTACCAAATTATCCCATAAGAAACACTATCGCCCGTATACTGAAACAATACTAAATTTTAAGTCGCGCTTGAGTATCGTTCTGTAACTACAAATTCTTTATAAAACATCAGAGATAACACGATATTTAAGTACAATTTAAAATTAAGTTACCTTTAATGGGATAAGCCGGTAAACGAATGGTAAGCAATCGGCGTCGCCTATAGACACCTGGAATACCAGAGGCGTTATAAGTATGTTACCGAAGAAATTTGAAGATTTTTCGGGGATTCAGGAATTGGGGAAGGGGTGTTAATTGGACCTCCGGTAACCTCACTCACACGATGAAACACAACGCAAGCGTTGTTTCACGTCGGTCTTTTGTGAGGCCGTGGTATCACTTCGGTCAAGCCGGCCCATTCGTGTTGAAGCATGGCGCTACCTTTCAGTATTTGGGTGTTCATTATGAAAAGCACTTAGATTTTTCTTTAATACAGTTAAGTCAGTTGGACAAAAGCCCCTCATCTATACAGGTACTAAGAAATATTTAAAGAAAATTATAATAATATTAATAAATTAAAATATCTTCCAAAACTATGTACGATTTTCTGTATTCGACTACACTTGAAGGCTGCTTTTGATTTTTCATATTATTATTGTGTATATTTAAACTATTGTTACCGATTCGTAATTTTCTTGGATTTTACCGTAAATTTATATGTAACTAGATAGTGATAAGCGTGTATTGGTAGGCCGGCCGATTGACTTGCGTATGCGCTTGCGTTAGAAAAAATACTGTCAAAATTATCGCAAATACTGTAATTCTATATTACAATATAAAAAAGATATTTAGGTATGAGAATCATTCATAGATTTTTCATAACAGCACTATTCTTTCGTCCGTCTAATACACAGCTGTGTAAACCTGGAATTATAAACCATGCTAAGTACATTAGACCTTAATTCAAGGGTGATAGAAACCAAGATACAGTAAAACATTACAATCAAGCAAGAAAGAGACAGAGCTATATTAAAATGGCTCTGTCTCGGTTTCGCACTGAACAAAATTGAGTATACTGTTCTGAATATAAATCTGCTTTTAATAGACAAAATCCAGGTTTATACAGTTAGTTGTTTCCTAGTATCCTAGGCCGGCCAAGTTAAAAATGTTGACTAATCTAAAAATGTAGCTAACTGTTGACTTTGTACCGGTTTATAGGCTTGTTGTTTCTACAATTTGATACGAGGGTAGATAGAGAAATTAAAACGACTTGTTATAGGCGAGGGCTATGGGATAACGGATCTTCTTCCATTGAATTAAAGATCAATTTTACATGTTAAGCACTTTTTTCTTACTAAAGAAAAAAATGCCATGTGATTGACTTAAAAAATTGTCCATTTATGGTTAAAATTAATATTTTTAATGTCGTCAAAATTACATAATTGATATTTAGAAATTATAATCGACATTGATATTAATTTTAATGCATTATTTAATTCTTAAAATAATCCAGAACTAATCTGTCCATTTCGATTCTGAATCTCTGAATTTCGTTGAATTTTGTGTTCGTTTATTTAGTATTTTATAGTACAGTCGTACACATGACAATAAAACTATTTTATTTTCTTTAAAAATAATAAAAAAATGTTCCTTTTTGTTTCTTAATTTGTTCGATTTTTAAACTTTTCGATTCGGACTTGTTCGATTTTTTTTTGTGTGTACGGCTGTATGCTTAACGTGTTCTAAGCATCTTTCCTAGTTCTTAAATATAAAAAAAAATAAATGTAATGCATGACAAATTGAAAGGAATTGATGTAAATCGTTACTTCGTTGGATTTTGATCCTAATGTGTATTGTATTAACGATCTTTTTGAATTAAATATAATTATCCCATAAAGTTTCGTCAAGAGACTCGAATGTAATGTTTGTGAGCGCATTTCAAGCGAAATGCGCCTTTATTTTGATAGGGTTATGGTATGGTTTTGTGGTGACGTGGTGTATTTCTGAAACTTTCTTATAAGTATTTTTAATTAGTAATATGTATGAACATTGCTTAAAAATTTAAATACTAATGCCATACTTATTTCGAATCAATATAATTATATATATTTACTTCCATATAATAAGCTGATTTGCCATGCAAATTTCAAACTTGTGACTTTACAGGACTCATGCGTAACTACCATAGCGCTTTTATATATAATATTTTCAGTCACTATATATGTCGTAGGATAATTTGATATTTCGAATCTTCGCGGAAATCCTAGGGGTTTTGCGAAAACGCGGATAATTAGACATAGGCGAAAAATTATCAAATCTTACTGGACAAAGTCAGGATTTTTGCGAAAATACTCGTTACTATAGTAAGATTGCGAAACGAAACGCTGGCTGTTATGAAATAAGAACGCTGGTTGGTCGGTCAGCGCGTTCAATAAGAGATCGTCTCTGATTGGTTGACGTCTTAAATGTTTTTTCGTCGTCTTAAACGACCAGTTTCATCCAATTTATGGATTACACCCTAAAATTGGATCATTTTTTTTTTACAACGACTGAGATCTCCTATTGTCTGTAGAAAACAACATACATACTAAAATTTTCAATAAAAGGTTTATAAAAATCAATTTTTCTTTCTCACCTAAACTAGTAACCAATTAGAAGCCAGCCACCAAAATTGTAGCCAATCAGTGTTGAGCACATCAAATCTTACTATAGTAACGAGTATTTTCGCAAAAATCCTGACTTTGTCCAGTAAGATTTGATAATTTTTCGCCTATGTCTAATTATCCGCGTTTTCGCAAAACCCCTAGGATTTCCGCGAAGATTCGAAATATCAAATTATCCTACGACATATACATATAAAAGAAATACACCAATGTTTGTATGTGAAAAAAAATATCGAATAGCTTTTGTAGATTCGCTTGGCGCCAAAGATTTTATAAATCCTTGTGTTCAATCTCAATGAACGTTTAAAGAAAAACAATTAATATATTGTTTTCTAATTACGATAATTTTCGAGTTTTAAGCCTCAATATAAATATATTCTAGCGGGCTGTATAGTTTTATTCATAATTTCTACAATTTATTTCTATGTGTATAATAATAGGTATTATCATCACTACTTTTCGAACGTTATTTTTCAAAATATTTGCTATTAAAAAATCTTAAACATCACGTCATATTTCTGAATAAAACTATACGAAACATTTCTTAAGTTGTAATAGATTTAAGCGGTTTTCAGTTTTTGTATAAATAAACTTACTAACTTATTTCTATGTATGTATATTGAAGAGTTTTCTAATATATATTCCTTAGTTAGAGTTGTTAAAAACTTAGATTTAAGCAATAACGCGTTTGCGTCTACATGTTGTATCATAAAAAGTTGTTGAAAGTTGCTACAACTAAGTCACATAATAATAGTTTTATTTAAAACATAAAACGATGAAAATGTATTTATTTATTAAATATGAATTAACATTCATGAGTATTTTGGTGTTTTATTTTTTATTTTACCCTAGTTTTGCTGTTAAAGATGTAATACATGATTTTATTGAGCCTGCAACGTCCTGTGAATGAGGGTGGAGACTAGAAGTTGTTGAGGGAGGCCTATGGTCTGCAGTGGAAGTCTGCCACAGGAGATAATAGTGACAATGATGATATTGGTGCAGTCAAATAATTTCCCAGATAATCCACAACACTAGTGTTGCAGATATACTTAGGCTACAGACGGGTTCTTCTTATTTATTACGCACCACTCAATTCAATAATGAGTTACACTCAATACGACAATGCCACTTAATATAGGCCACATATTTGAAACAACATTAAACAGTACATAGTACATTTTTTTTCTTCTCCACATTGAAAAGAACTCCTGAAATAATCTTAATCCTTACTAATATTATAAATCGGAAAGTGAGTTTGTTTGTTTATTTGTTTGTTCCGCCTTCACGCCGTAACTACTAAGCCGATTGCTTTGAATTTTTGCAGACGTAAAGTTAGAAGTCCGGATTAAATAATAGGGTACTTTTTATCCCGGAAAAATTTGATATTCCCGAGGGAAAACAAAAGTATTGGTATAGATGGCGCTGTGTGTATTGGTATATGTCACATAGGCTACTTTTTATCTTTTTGTGACGCGAGCGAAGCCGCGGGTACAAGCTAGTAAATAATATACCTCGGTTGGTTACCCATTTTATTAAAATAAATAATCATAGGTTCTAAACCCAATGATGTATCATAACGTCACACCTTTTAATTCCCGAAGGAGTAGGCGAATGTATGACCTATTATTCATTAGTGGTGTTATGAATACCTTGTATTTTTTTATGGAATAGGCGGCAAACAAGCAGATGGATCACCTGATGGTAAGCGATAATACTTATACTGAGAACAATTCCAGAAGAATGAATTGAATGTGGAATTTCAGAATCAGAATAAAAGGTAGACCACAGAATCTTGACGATGGCAATATGTGAGCGCAACGTAGATACAGCGGGTTCGATTACAACACAGAATAATAGTGAGATCAATAAATTATTGATTCGGATCTGGGTGTAATGTGTATGTTTGTAAATGCATCCACGATACATAATATCACAGAAAACAGCAGTTTGAAATGACTGAGAATTTAAAAAATCAGAATTACGAATCAGTTTCAATGATTAAGCATAAACACTTATAAATTTTTAAAATAGCTATTACCTATTAACAAAAATTTATCTTAATACCTCGGTGGCGGAGTGGTCGTAAGTGCGACTGGCAAGGGGTCTCGGGTTCGATTCCCGGGTCGGGCAAAGTATTACTGGGTTTTTAAATATTCTCAGTAGTAGCACGGCGTATGGCATTGTGCCCGGTATATGGCAATAGGCTCACCCTTTACATTACATGGGACTCATAACATAAATAATGAAAAGTGGGTGTTACATTGTAAAGTGGTATAATGTGCACCTCTGCCTACCCCTTCGGGGATAAAAGGCGTGATGATATGTTATTTCTCTTTCTTAATATGACGATCAAAAAATCAATGTCCCCTATTTTACAAGTACGGTATGTGTTAGTTTGTGAAAGCCACATTAGATCTGACAGCGACACAGCTGCACTTGTAGGTGTTCGCCGCCCTAAGCTGTGCTTAGCTCCGGAACGAACCTACGACCCGCGGTATATGTATGTCGGTAACAGTAAACGTCATGACTTTTCTAGGCAGGCTGATGAAAATCTGTGGAGTGGGCATTCGAAATATAAAAAAAAAATATGAAAAAAAAACTATGTCTTGCAAGGTCTTTGTAATGGGCAAAATGTCAGAATTTAATAGCGTTTAATTTTCTTCTAAGTAAGAGGATATAAAAATATAAAAGATTTTTAAACGAACTAAGAACTTTCAATAAAATTTACAAAAACAATAATGTAGGCTAAACTATTAAACTTTGAATTTACTGCAAGATCTCAATATAACATGTTAACAACATCTATCATGAGTCCTATAATAAATAATTAATTAAATTCAAGTTATTTATTGTTAGGGGAACGGAACACGCGTTGTCCGTAAACATATTTTACGTAGTAATGTAACATTTATGTGGATGGCGATGCAATAATAAATTACCTGTACCTAAGTAAAGTGTTTGTTTACATAAAATTCTTGCTTTTTTTTCTCCAATTGTAGTCACCACATCATCGTGTCTTTTACATTCAATACCCCAATCCCCGAATCCCCAACAATTCAAAAGTTCCTAACTCCCAAAAGGCCGGTAACGCATTTGTAACGCATCTGGTGTTTAAGGTGTCTACGGGAAGGGAAAGCTCGTTTGCCAACTTATTAAAAAAAAATGCAGGGATAAACAGAGTGTATAAAAGACGTACCTAGTGAATTAATTTCGACAACTTATTTTTAATTTAATTTCACATCTTTAACTAATTATTTGAAAGTAAAAGCAATAAAAAGAAAACACATCTCTCAGGTCTAATGGCTCACAAAACTCAAGATCGACACCACCAACATCCCATTTACCATTAACAGAAACTAGAAACCAATCTCTGAAAAAATAAATTCACAATAACACCTCCATACGTTTCTCTATTCTCAACAGCGAAGCATGCCCCCGCTGCTCAGTCCAGTACAAGCAACCACGTGACAATAACCAACTGTCTTCAATAGTCACTCACAGTTAGGATAAATTAAATTAAAATTCATATTCCAATGTGCCTATAAAGAAAGGATTTTTGAAATAGAGGTAAGGTAAAAATTTAATTTTAATTTTTTTTTGTTTTTTTTTTTTGTATAGAGTAGATAAACTTGTATTAATCATATATCCAATGTACCTACCATCCATCTATCTAGTTAATGGTCGGCTATATACAAAGAAATATGCACACAATGTTATTTTCTGGAATATCTGTATTATTTTGTACAAATTAAAAACTTCTAATAAGCTCTAATAGTACCTAGTAGTATTTATTAATTAAAATAAGATTGCTGTATATTTTTTTTAGACTAGCCATATTTATTGGTCTTTTTGGTACACCAATTTTTTTTTATATGTAACATAATTGATAAGGAATCATCTTAATCAAAACTACAAAATTGAATGACAAAAATGTTATTTTTAGTAGAAGCCTGCAATTTCCGTTTTCACTTTTTTTGACCACTTGGTATAAGATCCTTATAATGGAATCTTCATGAGTTAGATGTTGGTATTTTTAGCCTGTTTGGTCCTTATAATGGCCAAATAATTATGATAATTTTACAATAATCATCAAGAAGTTATGTTTTGAATGGGCACAATTAGAGTATTTAGCTTATTTCAATATGGTTTACATAATACACTAGTATAAAGCACTTTATTATTTTTTTGAATATTTTGCACTTTAATATCAACCGCATGGTTGATAACATAAACTTTCATTTTCATATTAATTTTTCTTTTTCACTTATTGACACTATTTTCACTCACTAAAAATATCAGTTTCCGTTACACCAATTTCCAATTTCAATAAAAACTCCACATAAAAATCGCGACGAAATATCAACCGCTATTCGAAACTCATTTCCGAACGCGCTTCCGAGCTCCCGCCAATTTTGCTGTCAAAACTTTTCGGTGCCAAAATGGCGCTCAACGCGACGCGATCTAAACGTTCTGGTTGCAACAAGTCAATGGGAATACAACACAAATTATACTCATTTAGTGGTAATTTAATAAACTTAACTAAATTATAGGCATTTAATTCAATTTAAGTGACTGCCCGACGGTGAGGGGAGGGTCAACCACCCTAGGAGTATTGTGTTACTCCTACCGCTAACTTATTAATACGATAATATGATTTTCTTTGAATGCCTGCAGTAAATCCCTTTACTGACGTATTCTGATTACTATGCAGTCTTTGGAACTTAACAAACGCGATATAATTACGTACCTACGTAAAAATTGTCTTGTTGGTCCATTCTATTATGTTTGTGATATAGAATCGGTTTCAAGGGTGGGCATAAAATTATGAAATTGTTGAAATCTGAAACCGAAATTGAACCGCAATTAGTTGAAATAATGATAGATTCATACATTTGATCGCCTGATATAAACGAATCCTAACTAATTTGCAGGCTTCTACTGTCTGCTTCTTTTGTTTCTCATTTCATGCAAAATAAATGAACTTGTCTCAGTTTTGTGTGCTAGCGTCATGGACTTGATTATGGACAAAATAGAATAGATCCTCGGGATAGATTCCCGGGTTAGGCTCAGTATTATCTGTTAGTGTATAAAAAATATTAGGTATTTATAACTAAATTGTTTAATTGTTCGTTCAGGTTTTTTAACTTATATTTTAGATGGAGGAATCATTAGATGGCCGCGAGGGTGGCGCAGGCGCAAGTGGTTTCGACTCGGCGGCCATATTGAATGATGACGTATCACCCACTACAAGCTTCTGTTATAACATCCCTAATCTTTTCAATAGGTGAGTTATTTATTTAAAACGAGCTGTATATGAGTACAGTGTTAAGCCGTTTTTTTATGGGATAAGCCGGTAAACGAGTAGACGAATCACCTGATGGTAAGCTATCGGCGTCGCCCATGGACACCTGGAACACCAAAAGGCGTTACAAGCGCGTTACCTGCTTTTTTGGGATAAGGAGTTTGAGGATTGTTGGCGATTCAGGGACTGGGTTGATTGGGGAAGGGGGGGAGGTAATTAGGCCTCCGGTAAACTCACTCACACGACGAAACACAACGCAAGCGTTGCTTCACGTCGGTTTTCGGTGAGGCCGTGGTATCACTCCGGTCGAGCCGGCCCATTCGTGCTGAAGTTTAGCTCTCCGACACTTGAATATTTATTCATCGTAGTTTAAGTACACACGGCTACACATCGAGCTTTACATAACCAGTATAAACTGAACGTTAAATGTGCGGAAAGATGATGCGACGCGACACCAGGTTAAACTGGTTTTGTATAGATTGATGTGACATGTCATGTGAGAGATTGATTAAAAACTTCTTTTTTAAGTCTCTTATTTCATTTTATTAAACGGCTCTGCTACATTTTGCCCCTAACATTATTGACTAGACACCAATGATATATCTCTGTTTACCCTTTAAACAATAACACACACGATTAAATTATAATATTCTCTTGTAACGTAACTCTTTACATTACCTAGACATAATTCAGTAAAATCTAATGTAATAGCTTCATCACAGAATCTAAATGGAAGTTTAAAATTTGATTTTCATGCAAGTCATTATTCTATTTTTATTTTGATTGATGTCTGTCCTGATTCGTTTGATAGTATGTTCTATTTCTCCTTGAAGTTTAGACTGCCATGCAGGTATCTTCTTTATGTGCTCTGTGATAGGTACTATAGTTGCTAGCCTATATTTTGAACGTTTTATTTGATACGCCCTTACATTGTACTTGTAAGAAATCAATATTTCATAGAGTCGTCTGTGATTTTTTACGCATTGCTTGGTAAGTAGTTAGGTACTATTGACGTTAGCGTACAATCAAAGGCTTTTGGCATATGAAACTACATTCAGTTTTTATAATTATGCAACAATTGGGATGATGACAGGGTATGAAAATTAAAAATCTAATTAGTCCGTCAGTTAGGTAATGAAAAAATATTAGACACGTATTTTTTATTTTGTCGTATAATAAAACAGTACTTAGATAAAACAAATCAAAGTTTAGGAGTGGGGGCTAAAACGTTATTTCTACGTATAAAACGCACATAGAAGTGACGTCACGTGACATTTCAAATCAATATATCGTCGAAAGTATTCCTTTCTGTAAGAAAATAAAATATACGTGCCTAATGATTAAAAAAAATTAGGCATCTACCCTATTACATCCATATCTTTTCTAACTGCCTACGATCGAGTGGTCGTAAGCACGACTACAGGAGTAAAATTTGGGTTCGGCTCTTTGGTTGGACACTGAAAATGTGCCCGGTATATAGAAATAGGCACCACGCTTTTCTAAATGAGACTCATAAACATAACTTCTAAAAATGTTACATTTTGTCATCTTCAATTGTTTTTTACGTCTCCAGCCTTGGTCCTGGATCTGTGCTATGCGAACGTCCGGACAATGAACCCAGTGAAACTTACACGCCGAATGTAGAACCAGCAGACGAAAGCACTGAACACCAGCAGTTTGAAGATGATGAGGAGTATTCTCCGAAATCAAGTGAGCAGTTTTTTAATTTTTGTATTTCCAGTTAAAATATAATGGTGTTTTAAAATACTGGGTGTAAACGGAACGCGACAGAAAAATGCCAACAGGTGATGGTAAAAAACAAGTAATATTTTTATAAAAGTAAGGAATTAAATGTTTCTTAAATCTAATATCTTATACTATTATATAAAGCGGAGGAGTTTGTTTTTTTATTTGTTTATTTGAACGCGCTAATCTCCGTAACTACATGTCTGATTTGAATAATTCTTTTTGTGTTGGATAGCGCATTTAACGAGGATGGCTATAGGCTATAAAACATTACGCTACGACCAATAGGAGCTGAGCAGAGCGTGTGAAACCGCGCGGACATAGCTAGTGTAATAATATTTGTAATGAACTGCTCAAGGTAGTTTCATGAATGACACGAAAACAAAAAACAATTAAAATTGTAAAAACCATCAGCGTTTTTTTTATGGGATAAGCCGGTAAACGAGCAGACGGATCACCTGATGGTAAGCAATCGGCGTCGCTCATGGACACCTGGAACACCAGAAGCGTTACAAGTGCGTTACCGGCCTTTTGGGGGATTAGGAGTTTGAGGATTGTTGGGGATTCAGGAGTTGAGGAGATTGGGGAAGGGAAGGGTAATTGGGCCTCCGGTAACCTCACTCACACGACGAAACACAACGCAAGCGTTGCTTCACATCGGTTTTCTGTGAGGCCGTGGTATCACTCCGGTTGAGCCGGCCCATTCGTGCCGAAGCATGGCTCTCCCACACTTAAAAGCGTTTGGGAGCGTTCGTTATAGTACAATTTTTATTTAAGTCCGTTTATAAATAGCAAAGTTTAAATCCTAATATTTTCGTTGCAGATGCCAAAGGAGATATACCTAAACGAAAACAGAGACGATACAGGTATGACACCTAGTGTAGGAATAAAGAAACTGAGTAAATTATTATGTTTTCGGCTTACTCACGTAATTATTTGACGAGGAACTCGACAGTAGCAGCGCGACAGTCGCCGCGTCGCGGGTCGCGAAATGCTGCTCATGAATATGAGCCTCTAGTATGGCTTAAAACTAGTCGAGTTCCTCGTCAAATAATTACGTGAGTAAGCCGAAAACATAATAATTTATTTAGTATGTCTTACGAAAGTTATAATACAAAGAAAAAGAGTCGCTAGCATTCTTTTCTTTTACATTTCATGATAATGGCTGGCCGAGTGGTCGTAAGTGCAACTGCCGGGCAAGGGGTCTCGGGTTTGATTCCCGGATCGGGCAAAGTATTACTGGGTTTTTTAAAAATGTCAATAGTAGCACGGAGTCTGGAATGCGCCCGGTATATGGCAATAGGCTCACCCCCTATTACATGGGACTCGTAACATAAATAGTGAAAAGTGGGTGTTACATTGTATAGGGCATTAACTCGTCGAGTACCGGTTTTATAGACACAATTAACTCGTCGAGTACCGTATTTATAGACACAATTAAAGAACAATAGGTTGCGGTCACCGGTGACCGCTTGGTGTTTGACAGTTTAAAGAACAATAGGTCGCGGTCACCGGTGACCGCTTGGTGTTTGACAGTTTAAATGCCGTAATGTACACCATATTACCATATACCGGGCACAATTCCAGACTCCGTGCTAGTACTGAGAATTATTTAAAAACCCAGTAATACTTTGCTCGATCCGGAAATCGAACCCGAGACCACTTGTCCAACAGTCGCACTTGCGACCACTGGGCCAACCAGGCAGTCTTTCAAAAATAAAAACCAAACCTTAAAAGAATACTTCCACCTTGTAAGGTGAAGCAGCAAGACAAATGAACTCCTGTGCCAAGGTTTACATTCTTAATGAAAGAGACAGCAGTTTTGCAGGTTCAGCTCACTACAATATTAATTTAACATTTGGTCCACTGTTGGTACCCCGGACATCATTTGTTACTATCATTGTTATTGCTATGTTGTGTTAAGAAATGCGTTTATTTTGTCTTTCATAGTGTTGTTGAACTGATATTTTGTGGTGCTGTCGAGTTTGGGCGCTTACAATTTATGCAAGTATACAGATAAGCCCACAACTTTAAATATAATTCTCGAAGCTGTTTTTATTTAGTAGGCACAGAGTTCGGAACTCAATTCGGTATATTTTATGTAGTACTAGCTTCTGCCTGCGACTTCGTACGCGCAGTCCCAATTTCCCCACGTTCCCGTTAGTGATTTTCGGTAAAAAGTAAAAAAAAAGTATTCTATAAAAAAGTATCCTATGTCCGTCTCCTATGTCCGTCTTCTGAGCTACCTCCCTGCCAATTTTCATCCAAATCGATTGAGGCGTTCTTGAGTTATAAATAGTGTAACTAACACGACTTTCTTTTATATTATATACTAGCTTCTGCCAGCGGCTTCACCCGCGATCTCAGGGGTAAAATGCCTATGTATCACTTCTGACCATAATCTACCTCTGTTCCGAATTTCATTCCGGTCCCTTCTGTGGTTTTAATATGACTGAGTAACAAACATACACATAAACTCACATATTTTCATTTATAATATCGAGTCAAGCTAATTTCAACCATTGGCCTTTCAGTTACAGCGTAATGTCTATGAATGAGTATTGTAAACGTTAGAGTAGACAAATACAATCAGAAATCACCGAATTGCTAAGCTATCGGGAGTTTCACGTGTTATTGTGAGTCAACCATAAAAGATAGACATATGCTGTCGAGGAATATTTTTTATATAATTTTAAGGAGAATATTTCCGTCATATATGATTTCTATGCAGCTTTAACCTATAAGCCTGCACACGCGACGGAAGCTTAAAAAATGGAGTAACTTCTCCAATATTTCCCTTCACTGCTCTGCTCCTTTTGATCGTAGCGTAATGAAAAGTATACTATAACCTGCCCAAGAGTATGAAGAATAATTGTGCCAAATTTCGTTAAAATCCATCGAGTAGTTTTTGTTTCCATAACGAACATACAGACAGACAGACAGACAGACAAAAATTTTACTGATTGCATTTTTGGCATCAGTAGCGATCCCTAACCACCCCTTGATAGTTATTTTTTAAATATATTGTATGTACAGAATTGACCTCTCTACAGATTTATTATAAGTATAGATAGATGTGCCTATTTCATAAACCGCATACAGATCTTATGCCAAATTAGAGAAATGAAAACCGAAAAATAGCTAATAACACTTTCATCAACAGCCTATAAACGCCCACTGCTGAGCAAAGCCTCTTGTCACACGGAGAAGGTTTGAGCATTAGTCACCACGCTTGCTGAATACGGGTTGGCGATTACAAACTTATAATTAGAAATTATAAGCTCAGGTTTCCTCACGATGTTTTCCTTCACCGTTTGTCAGTGGTGTTTAGATAATCTTAGAAAGTACATGTAACTCGGAAAAAGTCACATTGATACTTGCCGTTGGTAGGTTTCGAAACCGCACCGTCATGCATGAGAAGCTGGCGTCTTAAACCTCCGGGCCACCACGACCCAATATATAATAACACTTTGCCTGACCCGAAAATTGCTACTACTCAACAAACAACATAACATAACATCACGCCTTTTTATTCCCGAAGGGGTAGGCAGAGGTGCACATTTCGGCACTTAATGCCACTGTACAATGTAACACCCACTTTTCACTATTTATGTTATGAGTCCCATGTAATAGCGGGTGAGCCTATTGCCATATACCGGGCACATTTCCAGACTCCGTGCCACTACTGAGATTTTTAAAAACCCAGTAATACTTTGCCCGACCCGGGAATTGAACCCGAGACCCCTTGCCCGGCAGTCACACTTGCGACCACTCGGCCAACGAGGCAGTACTCAACAAACAAACTAAATAAAATCTCACTTCCCACCAGGCATTAGACAGAACATCTTAATTGCACACGCCTTGCACTTTGCAGATCTTGTAACTGCTCCAACTATCATTTGCATAATCCCTTCTTGTTGCAGAACCACGTTTTCGAACGTGCAGCTCGAGCAGCTTGAGGCAGCTTTCCATAAGACGCACTACCCTGACGTCTTCTTTAGGGAGGAGCTGGCTATGAGGATCGACCTTACTGAAGCTAGAGTTCAGGTAATGTGAGATGTAAACATATTTATTTACTTCAGACTTTGACTGCCAATAAAAAACTGTTGAAGGTAAATCCTTCGCTAACGCCGGTCACCGGTGACCCCCATGGCGTTTAATGTGTTAAGGAATTGCGTAACGATTATTATTATTAGCTCATGATAAGTGTGTTTTGACTTTTCTTTACTGAAGTATATGATTGTCTAATATAGAAACCATTCCTAAAACATATTTCGTTCGTCAACGGCCGGTGTCCACTGATGGACTATGAATTTTAAATATTTTTGGTGTAATATCCATGCCTGGGCGGTCAGTTGGAAATCATAGATTGAAAAGTACATATGCTGCAGTCTCTATATCTCACAGCACCCACGGGAAAAAGAAAAAGAATAGTACTGATAAACGTGTTCAACTTCACTACATGGCTTAAAATATATTTGTAATTGGTTAAAGACAAAAGAAAAAGATCGATCCGCGCATCTCAATAAATATAGCCTGCGGAGTAATGATCGGATACATTTTTGGAAAGTTTGTAGGACGCAGCCGCTAACTGCAGCCGTCCGGACAATGTTGGCGAAAATAGAACATTAGGGTTGTATCGGGTCAAACTTATACCTGTTCTTCCTGTCGCTGTTTCGTAAAAAACACTGTTTTTAGTAACAGTTACTAAATAACTGGTATTAAGAACAGATAACATTTTCTCATAACTAGGACTACGACATAATCATCTGTTATTTGAATTGTAACTGTGGTTTGAATATTCATTGTTAAATAGATATCTATCTATAGTAAAGTTCTCTAATATCGGAAAAGAAGGATCGTTCCACCAGGCGAGGTTATTGTGCCTGGCGAACTACTGTCGAAAAGTTGCTCGTTGATATTTTCTATCGATGTTTATTCGCGCGAAAACTTCACTTGCACGATGTAAGATTTTATATCTATCATTCGTCATTTGATGTTGCAACTGCAAAGTGCTTTGCCACAAATGTAATACCTGTTACCAATTTAACCTCACATAAACAACTGTTATCTAGTATATGTGCAATATCTGTTATTTATTACTGTTGTGATAGTAACTACCTCTCGCCTAGAAAATAGCTGACGAAGTTTCATGATATTTATACGAAACTGTGACAAAGTGTCCAAAGTCTGGATTATTTTAGTTTCTATCACTGTTCAATGATAATTGACGTACCCTAAATGGAATAATTCATGACTAAACTTATTTTGAAGTTATTCCAATTGTGGTTTGTTAAAGAAAGATTTGTATAAATAACTATTACTTTATTAACTAAAAATCGCGGGTTACTTAGGTGAATATACTGACAAAAGCTCTACTAGTTTCGTACCACAGATAGTAGGCTGCGCGATATCGCCGCGACCGCGCACGCTGCTCATGAGGAAGCACCCCTCTGTGGTTCGAAACTAGTAGAGCTTTTCTCAGTATATTCACGATAGTTATTATAAAAACAAACTATTACTTTTGTGTTTATCTTAGGTTTGGTTCCAAAATCGACGAGCGAAGTGGCGGAAACAGCAAAAGGCTGGCTGTGAAGGATACTCTGCTGCCCCGAGAGGGCCGAGATCTCCTGACGAAAGATCACCATCAGCTTTAGCTTTGGAGATGAGGGATTTCATCACCATACCTGGTAAGTTAAAATTTAACAGTGTTGAAGTTTGATATTATGTATGATGTATGTAAGAATCGTAACAATTGGCGCTCCATAGTGTCTGCCTAACCCCATGGGAGGCAGGCTTGAGGTTATGTATGTGTGTATTAGGTTTTATCTTGACTTTTGGTCTAGGGTACTGATACCAGATCACTGGGTCGAAATCGCGAATTTTGAGAGTACTGTCTAAGGTTAAATTCACAAAATGTTTGTTAATAGACTTTTGTACTACTTGAAAACTAAGCAAAATGATAAAAAACCAAAATGGTCTGTTTTGTGTTAGTTTCATATTTTTCTTTGCAAAAAAATCTTTTCTTTTTATAATATCAGTGTAGTTACAATGTAAAATGTTCTTCAATATTGTAACATAAAACCACTTAACAATAGTTGTCGGTTTTAAAAGGAAAAGTTGGAAACATTGAATAACTATTCAGTTCAACACTTACCACTGACAGCGACATTATTAACTACGTGTTTGTATTTCATATAGTTTTAACACAAAATAGATGTTTCATATTACCTTGTTTAACTTTTTTTGTTCATCATCATCAACATCATCAACAGCCTATAAATGCCCACTGCTGAGCAAAGCCTCTTCTCACACGGAGAAGGTTTGAGCATTAATCAAACTTATAAGTAGAAATTATAAACCTAGGTTTCGTCATGATGTTTTCCTTCACCGTTTGTCAGTGGTGTCTAGATAATTTTAAAAAGTACATATAACTCGGAAAAAGTCACATTGGTACTTGCCGTTCGGGTTGGTACGTTTCGAACCCGCACTCTCATGCATGAGAAGCGGGCCTCTTAAACCTCCGGGCCAACATGACAAATTTTTTTTCGCTCATTAATTATATGTATATTTCTTTTCCAGTATCATCAACCCAAATGATAAACTTAAGTGACACTCAGACACAAGTTTACGCGACCAAATCAAAGCCATCACCACCAGCCATTCACATATCAGCGCTTCCAACGAGACAGAACCCTCAAGTCGACCTCCCATCATTTTCCATACCCCTACAATATAACCTAGGAAGCTTCAAGAAAATCGGCGAAGACGTACACCTAGACCTAGAAACCACAGACCAAAACAACTGGGACACTAGAATGATACCTAATTTTAACCTGATGAATTTAAAACCATTGATAGAAACAAGAGATAATGTTGACATGGAATTAAAATATGAGGTTAAAAATGAAAATAGAGTGAATTTCAATGAAATACAAACTGTCCAAGCTATTGAGAGTGACGACTTACTTGGTAAAGATACAGTGAATGAGGGACAAACAATATCACCAGATTTTGAAATACAAAGGTTTCAAAATTATCAAAATGAAAACGAGAAAAGGTTTAGGGAACAGAGCTTCGAAGACTCCATCATGGAAGATGGTAGGAATGATTTCGTTTGCGATGGAGATTTTCTATGCAAGAATAATTTTGAGAAAGTCGTTGAGAAACGCAATGAATTTGAGGAGTGCCATCTTTTAGATAGTGATAATACTGTTGGTATAAGTAATTTTGAAAATGCCCTGTAGGTTCTTAGATAAGTAGCCATCAGACCACCACAGATGGGGCCCAGTAGGTCTGATGCCCGATACGGAGCCGCGGAAGGCCTAACGGGTTGCCGGGGCTCCGGCTCGAAGAACAGGAGTAAGAACGGGGTAGTTTTTAGTCAATAAGAGTCTGACACTCCCTCTCGCCTAACCTAAGACGGGAGAAGTCATTGGATTGTTTTCCCCCCCTCAGGTTCTTGGATAAGTAACTTTATTGTGATCTCATTAAGGTATGTTATTTATTGTAGATAGTAACTAATGTAATATAATCCATAATTAATGTATTTTTAAAGGTCATATTATGTGTCTAGTGGATTATGTTGTATTTTTGTTCTTTTAATCAATAAATAAGAACAGGAATGCATATTGTTTATCATCGTTTTGAAGACTAAAGTATATATTTAAGAGTAAATAATTGTATGTACAGTCAGAAAGGTTGAATTGTCTTAATGTTAGTTTTATCTTTACACAAATATTATTAAGTTGTGATATCGTTACAATAATTTAAGTACAATTATTATTCTAGTCAACAATAAATACCATTTAAAAGAGACCCTCTTGTTTGACCCCGAATACTGTAAAATCCAAATATCGTGCCATCTCTGTATATTACAAAGAATTTGTAGTTACAGAACTATCTTAAGCGCGACTTAAAATTAAATAGCGTTTGAATATTAGATAGTATTAGTAGGTACATTACATAAAAATTGATAAAAATTACATAATGAAGTAATTTTTGAAGTAAGTTTCATTCAACTTTTAATTGACAGTTTCAGGGCATTTAAAGTGCAGACAAAATGTACTGGATGTATTTATATAGGAAAAGAGATAGAATATAATCTGAGATAATACCAGTAGTAGGGACGGGGTGGTTTTTAGTCAATAAGAGTCTGACACACCCTCCCGCTTCATGATTATTCCCATTAAAAAAAAACCGAGTACTGCGAAGTTAAACGGAGAAAGTAAAGTTAAAATCATAAGATTTTGACCGGTATCTTTGTATGTATACGTATGTATTGTATGTATGTATGGAAAAACATACACTTACGTATGAAAGAACAAAATAATTAAAAAAAAAACTGCTGAATAAAGTTTTACAACGTTTAGAAAATAAAACTTCAGTCGAGTTGTAGTGTTCTATAGCGCGCAGGTGTTAGTTGTAAAGTTATTCAAGTAAAACTATTTAATACTTTTACTTCTAAACGTGAAGTTAGAATGTGGTTTCTTGTATGGGATCGATGTTAACAACATACACGAACAAGTTTGTAGAACTATGCCATTGAAATAATTAAAAACTTAGCGTTTCTTTTCAGAGCTTTCCACTCATATAACTTTCTAAGACTAGGCGTGCTCTGCCGCAATCACACGACATATGGCGATTAACACACGGCACTGCGTACCGCTGCGGCGGGCGGCGACGGTAAAGCGGCTTTCGTAGCGGTGCCCCACGCGGTAAGGCGGTTCACGCGCCTGTCCGCGGATATGGATTTAACTCGGTGTTCACCAGTTTGTTCACGTTGAATTCTATTTTTAAATTGTAACACGTCCAGCACCCACTATGATGGTGGCGGTGAGAGCACCGCTTGACCGCGCGGTCGAGTTGTGTAGGTATATGTGATAGCATCGAAGGATTTATTAGCAGTCGACATGAGATCCGCTTCTCTGTCTATCGCCTTATGCCGTGTGATTACGGCAGAGCACCCCTAGTCTTACCGCGGATGCCGTAAGAGCCAATGAAGACTCAGATTGTCATTCGATTAAAACCGGCCAACAAAGCTCTCTGATAAACCTAAACATTTAAATAATAATTCCCAACCCACTCTTAAGTGCGGACATTATGGGAAACCCAAGAGGGTTTATAAGAATGTGGATGAGGCTCATGTTCCAATAGCGGACTATCACAGACTCTTGGTTTGAAATTATTAGATAAGTGCGACTGGTCCACCAATTTAAGGTGGCCCAGCGAGCTATGAAGATACCTATGTTCGAAGTTTCTCTGAAGGTTAGGATCCGTACCGAGGTGATCTGACAGAGAATGAAAGTTACCAAAGCAGCCGAAAGGATTAGCAAGCTGAAATAGCAGTGGGCCGGTTACATTTTTCGAAGAACCGATGACCAATGGGGTAGACGTGTTCTGAAATGGACACCGCGTCTAGGCAAAAGCGTAGGGCGCCTATAGCTAGGTTGAGTGACGATATCCGCTAAATGGCTGGCAGTGGTTGGATGCGTAGAGCTGAAGATTGAGTTCAGTGGCGTGCCATTGGAGAGGCTTATGTCCAGCAGTGGACAACAACAGGCCGTTGATGATGATGATTAGATAAAGAGATCTAAATGAATACAAAATCTTCATATTTTATTCAGCTTGTAGACCAAATTAATTACTGCCAGCGTCAATAAAAAATAAACTACAAATTGTCCAGATCACATTCCTGTCGTATTGCCGACGGTAGCAATTTGGCAGCTTGCCAACGGTCTCAGGTTTGACTCTCGATGGCCCGTTGAATGTGATCCTTATGAATTGGTTTTGGATTTTAGAAACCTTTATAAGCAGTATTGTACTTGGCTATTTAAGGTAAGGACTCACTGCTGCACCTGCCTCGGTGGCGGAATGAAATTTTCAAAACTCAAGTGACCGCAGTTTTCTGCGGTTCCGCAGCCAGTGCGGTTGCGATCATCACCCGCAAAGTTGGCGGTTGATTATCGCAAGACGGGCGGGCGGTTTAACAATCAGTTGATTTCCAGACCGGCCGTCCCATTGCGATCACTCCACAACCAATCGCAGAACGCGCGGGTACAATCCGCCGTGGCTGAAATGGACCGGTCATATTTGTTGAAGAACCGATGACCGCGGGGCAGACGTGTTCTGGAGTGGAGACCACGTCTAGGCAAACGTAGTGTAGGGCGCCTTCCAGTTAGGTGGAGTGATGGTAGTGGCTCGTAGTGATTAGATGCGTAGAGCCGAAGATTAAGTTCAGTGGCGTGCCATTGCTGTTGATGATGTTTTAAACTCATCTACAAGATGAACATTAAAAAATAATATAAATGAGTCATCTTTCAAATAATAGTCATAGTTCACCTCTATATGAATACATTTTACTTTCTTAGACGGATTCTTTAGAAACCTGCTAATTACGTTCAATTAGTGGCCACAGGAGTGAATTAACAATTTAAACGTGAATTTTATCTAAATCTCGAGTGCGCGCCGGCCATTATGCTTGATGTAAACACCATTAGTGGCGAGGTGTAAGGTTTTTTACACACATACGACAAGAAAAATAAGTTTATGATGGAAGATACTTTTCCTTGATTCTTTTTGAGCATCTGTTCTAGTCAAAGTTCCTATACTTAAATCGAGCAATTCTGAAAAATACTGTAGAGATACACTTTTGCCTTTTATCCCTGGAGGGATAGGCAGAGGTGCACATTACGGCACTTAATGCCACTGTACAATGTAACACCCATTTTTCACTATTTATGTTATGAGTCCCGTGTAATAGGGGGTGAGTCTATTGCCATATACCGGGCACAATTCAAGACTCCCTGCTACTACTGACAGACTCAGGAATTGAACCTAAAATCCCTTGCATTGCAGTCGCACTTGCGACCACTCGGCCAACGAGGCAGTGAGGCAGAGGCGGAAAAATACTGTAGCTTGCATAGTTATTATAGATTAGTTATTAATAGACTCGCCGCCCTTATTAAAACTATAACCAGATGCAGAGCTGAGAATTAACTCTTTAACTGTTAAAACAGATCCACTCAAAATTATGTAGTTTTTTTATGGGATAAGCCGGTAAACGAAGACGGTTCACCTGACGGTAAGCAATCGACGTCGCCCATGGACACCCGGAACACCAGAAGTGTGGCAAATGCGTTACCGGCCTTTTGGGGAATAAGAATTTGAGGATTGTTGGGGATTCAGGGATTGGGAAGATTGGGGAACGGGTGGTGTAATTGGGCCTCCGGTAACCTCACTCACACGACGAAATACAACGCAAGCGATGTTTCACGTCGCGTTTCTGTGAGGCCGTGGTATCACTCCGGCTCATACGTGCCCAATCATGGCTCTCCCATACATTTTTGTTTTTGAAAGCTGAATTTTTGATTGACACGAACTTAGTTGAGAACGAAGCTTATCATGTTTCGCCCTTAGACTTAGCACTTACCTGACTGTTATAAAAAAATCGATAAGAACTGTAATCGTAATATGCGTAATAGCCTTAAAATTAATCCCGTCAGCTGAAAAAACTGCTTTAAACACGTTTGCGGCTTACAGTTTGAAGTCACGCTATGAACTGAAATAGTTTTATTTTTTATGAAAGCTGAACACTGAAGCGTTTTTTTGAAGTTTATTTTGTAAAGACTTTTCGTTATTATATTATGTGCAATAGTTACGATTCCGGATTAAGTTTTATATGTATTTTTTAAATTATATTATGAAATCATTATGCATTTGTGTTGATTACTGGCTTGTTATACAAAAGTAGATAATAAGGTCTCCGTTTCGATTGCCAGGTAAGGCAAAATATAGTTTTATTGGTTCTGTGATTCTCAGTGATAAAACGTAGTTTGGGTTTTTCGTTACCCATTATAAAAAAGAAAACTGCAAATAAAAACTAAGGGCCTGATTTTCACTTAATTTCACCCATTGCTAATATTTTTAACTCAAAACATATTTACCCCTAGATATAATTAGTTCTTTCTGCTATTAGCAACGTTATGTTACTACACACATACGTAGAGGTATAAATTTAATTCATGACGTATTTGTTGCATAAGATCCTATAATAAAATGGCCATGCAACGACTTGTTAAATAGACCTACGAAGTGCTACGCCGTAGCTGACTTCGTGACGTCACTGCTACGCCTGCTACACTTACGTAGCACATCCAGCCATCTGTAAAATGGTTAGGCATTGATGATCTATTTTGGGAAGTTGGCTTGTTGGTGTTTATCATTATGTAAAATAATATTTTGAGATATCGTATTTACTTAGGGATTCAGCTTAATGGATCCG